TCAAATAGAATACGTTAAGAGATCTCAGACGCACATACCGCTTCAGCTTTTTTTATGAACGAAAATCCATTCAAGGCATGATTTTCAATAACGCCCTGTCAAGTCCAGTACACAAGAGTTGGAACTACTTGGCCCATTACCCACGCACTACGAATGACTAGTTTGCGATGCAGAAAAATGTGAAACCTTACCACTACAGAGACTAAGGCAACTAAAAATCTATATATGTATATACATATATATATCAATCTTCTTCTCCTGAGAGCCAAAATTAATGAAGTTCTTAGTGCCCCAGCCTCACACCTTTAAGGGGTAAACCGGTTCAGGGCAGCAGTATGGTAGAATGGACGAATGGAATGGCTCCGTGCAGAAGAAGAGTACGAAGGATCACGGAAGGATGATAAGGGCCGCATAAAAGGGGATGTGATGAAAAATAAACATTCAGTCACTAGTGCCTCACTAGTGTCATTCAGTCACTAGTGTCTCCAAATCAACTCACACAAGCAAGAGAATTTTTCCAAGAATCATCGAGACCATCTCTCAAAGCGGAAATACCGATGCAGACAGGAGTAACATTGTCACAATCGCTTCTCTCCTTTGTACTCTTCTCAAGAATTTCTGGAACTGTAACACCTTCCTCTAATGAGAACACCGTCCAGAGAACGTAAAGACACTAAAATATTTCTCGGCAGCAGCATCATAATTTCCAACGCTACATACTGCGTTATACAACGCCTAAAGCACTATTCTCCTCGTTCCACGCCAGCTTATGCCTCTATCCCAACACAACACAGCAAACACTTATGCCACTAAATGAATAAGTATCAGACGGCATGAAAAATCATAATTAGGCGCTTTCACCTTTTTTTAGGAAATAGGACATATTCTCGATGAACTACGACGTTGGTAAACAGAAATCCTTCTGGCGTGAGTCGCCCTAGACAGTCTTTATTCGTAAGTTCAAACGCATTCCCTAAATTTCGCCGCACTGCTGCGACGCTTTCAAAAAACTTCTGAGTAAGCGGTTTGAAGAGACCACATGCAGCGTATGCTACATTTTCTAAATATCTTAAAAGCAAAAAAATGCTTTAGAGAAAATTAACTCGGACTAGTATTGTTATTGTTATAGACTTTAACTACAGCACATTTGTTTAGTCAGATTGACATAAGTTTTATATTGTCCTATTCCGCGAGTGATGCTACAGAGCGGAAGGCATCAGAGAGCATCCTCCGCTACCCGGGTGGGGCTAATAGTAGTTTTAGTCATATGCCTTCTGTCTCTCTGGCATTGGGGCGCAATATTGTATGCGCCCCAATGCCCCCATTGTGCGCGCCATTTTCAAAAATGCACCACGGCACCCCCTAGATGCCCTACCACATTCATGTTCCCTTGTCCAGAGCCCTTTTTCATGCGTCCTACATGTGGCAGGTGAAAATGTAGTCATTCAAATGAGATTATGCCGTGAAGTAAAATATATTGTCTACAGAAATTCTGCAGAATTAGGAGGGTGCTCTTTGATGCCTTCCGCTCTCTACACCCACTCTTATTTCGCTGAAGTTTCCATCACATACACCTGTCACCCGTATCACCTGTCGTCCCGAACGTCTCCATACGTCCCTGTTGCAAGCCAGAGTAGTCCAGTGAATTGTACTCGCTCGAGGATCAAGGAGCAATACATTACTTCACTTCAGAGGTTTCGTGAAGGAGCCTGACCATCGGGTCGGCGGTCGTGCTGGTGTTCGTTTGACGTCTCGAGAGATCCATTCCGTAATCGCCCTGGTCCAACGGTCGTCGCTATATCGCATGACGTGCTCGGCCCATCTGATTTTCGATTTCTTGACGTATTCAACGGCATCCCTGATCTTCGTTCGTCGACCGAGCTCGAAACTCCGGATTCCCTTCTTCACTTTCGTGTATAGGGAGATACCGAGCAGCGTCCTTTCCACAGCGCGTTGAATGACGCTAACTCCATGCTCATCCTGTTTTGTAGAGTCCAAACCACCGAGGTGCATTGTCGAAAAGGTGAGCGCGGAGCCAGATGTTCTTCGTCTTCATCACTACACCCTCGATGTTCTTGAATGCTCCCCACGCCGAGCGTTTCCTTCTGCTCAGCTCCTAAGCTAGATCGTTCATCATGTTGAATTCCCGACCTAGATACACATAGCTAGAGCATTCAGAGATATTCGTTCCGTTAAGCGTGAAAGAAGTATCAGGGACCAATTCATTTCGCGCGACATCGTTTTCGTTAGGTTTAGTCGTAATATGATCTTTCTACAAGCGATCATTTGGCCAGCATTTGTTACGCGTGCTCGATGTATGCGAAATAGAGCTTACCGACTCTGAGAACCGGGCTCGCCTGCTTCCGATCTTATAGACCAGGGCACGGAAACATTAATGGCTTTTACTGTGCCGCGTTTGGCTCACTGAAGAACGCTGGGGTTGATGGACTCGTGTGAGAGAATTAGGGACAAAATCTCTGAGTAGAGACCCGTCCTCGTTTTTCGGTTTGTTGGACGCTGAGCACAACGACCTAGATGCGAAGTGACGGTCAGAAGGTTCGGTTTGTTCTCTGTGGCAACCTGCCATCCGAGGACCCATCGAACCCGTTACGCCCTCCTCAGACTGAAATGCTCGGGGAGGCCTGAAAATGGATCATGTGGAAGACTTGCCGCGGTCCTCCCAGGTGGTGTCTGAGAGACCGAGAGGGAATATCCATTCCTTTCAGGCATTCACTTGGTCAGTTAGTGGACGGACCGTCACCGTTTATTTTCGGACTTTTCTGGGAGCGTGCTAGGTATTTAGGTTGGCCTGGGAGGTGTGCAGTGTTCAGCCTGAGATTTCGCGTGATCCGAATATTGATTGCGATGCCTTTGGGGCTTAAGCCCGTCTGCGGTGCACAGTAGAGAGGTCGCCCCAGAAGAGCAGCTCCTGAGGCTCCGCAGGAACTATAAAAGGATTAATAAGAGGATAAAGGAACTATAAAAGGATAAATGGTCTACCCTATGCCCGGCTCCGTTCTAAAAGATAATTCGTCAACTCGCACCTTCACTCTAGGCGTCCAGCGAATGCATAGCGACTTAACCACTATAAGCTCCTAAAGCGTTTTTATCACTTTCTCTTTAGTCTAATCGTTTGACATTCTTCGTAGTAGTAATCTTAGTGTCCTTATGACGTCTTAATTCCCCAGTTCGCTTCATTTTCGTAAATCCCCCTCTTTTATTCCGATTTTGCTAGTTCGGCTGACAATTTCCTTTCCACCCTCTGCTCATTCTCCTTATTTCCCCCTTTTTTTCCCCGTCTTTCTCATCTCTCTTACTTCCCTCTTTCCTTTCCTTCTTCTTCCTCTCTTTTCTCTCGTTTATGCCCCTTTTCATCAATCGATACGCCGACGGCAGAGGATCTCCCACGATGGATGGACACGCTGAACCTTTTTCACGCCTGTCATAGCCATTCTCACTGTTCTCCGGTGGATGACATTTCCTCGGTACTCGTTCCCACCACCATTAATGGAAACGCAGAGAACTAGTGTGCGCCAGACACTTGGTACACAGAATCAGCACACGTGGCAGGAGGCACAGGACTTGTCACAAGATTCGACTTGCTTGTAAGTGGACTTCTACACCGCGCAACGGCATCGGCTGTTTTATCAAGGATGAACTTGGAAAGCACGATCGATGGAAATGCTCGCACACTCCTCCAACAACGGCTTGCCATTAATCGCAACTCTGCATCTACACCTCTGGATCGTGCTTCGATCTATAAAGCGTGATGCTGTGAGAGAGTCGATAAAGCGATACAAAGACACTCGACTGAAGAAAGCAGCAGAGGCGAGAGTGAACCTTAAGTGATGTCGCAAGGACTTTAATGATCCTCGCTCAGTCATCACGGTTAGGAGGGACGCGATGGGCAGACCGCAGGCATCGAAAACAAGGAGATTGCCGTCACCTGCTACACAAACCTTTTCCGCTCAACGACACCTATTTCCCGCTTCCCTACGCCAACACAAAAGGTGGTTCCGTGGATAGCAGAATGGCAGGTAGAATGCGCCTACGTCATGTGAAGCCGAGAAAGGCACCTGGGCGAGACCGCATCTCAGCGGACTTCTTGCAATCGGCGTGCTACACTATCGTCAATCAGCTTACCAAGCGCTTTAATAAGTACCTGGAAGCTCAAAGGATTTCGGACCAGTGGAAGATGTCAAATACGGTTCTTCTGTTCAAGAAAGGAGAGCGCGAGAAAATGAAAAACGACCGCATAATTGCGCTTCTCTTGCAGCCGTACAAGCTGTCTACTAAGACTATTCTGAACTAACTCGAAAGGCAATTGTGGACGACTACCGACCAGTCAAAAACGCCAGTTCTCGCAAAGGCTTCTGCTGCATGGATCATAACCACACTATCACGCTGCCGATAGAACGGGCCAAGGAATACAAACAACCACTTCTTCTCTGCTTTATCGACTATGCGAAGGCATTTGACAGTGTGGAGCTCAACTCTGCCTGGAACGCATTGCACCATGCAGGAGTCGACCCATGTTACCTCAATCTGGTGGAACAATGCAATGCAGACATACTTACCACCATCCGCTCCTTCCAACGAGAGCTGCGCGTGCCGATTGAGGAAGGAGTCAGGCAGGGTGACACGATATCTCCTAAACTATTCATCATCACACTGAACTGCACGATGCTGCAACTGGACTCGGATAAAAACATTAACATTGACGGCAAGAAATTACCCAATTTGCGCTCAGCACCTCGTTTTGACTTGATGTTTTGTTAAGTGCTGTTATATCGCCGCAGTACGCGTTCCGAAAGTCCCACAACGTTGGTGATTAACGAACAAAACTCCAGTTTCGGACGGGACTCGAACCCGTACTTGTCCTTCCGGGCACCGTGCTCTTATCCCTTACACTACCGAGATCCCGCTTGCCCTCGCCTTAATGGGCGGATGCGTCACACATCACAATCACAAGAGCCACGCTACCGTTCACCGACTCCTACATGTGTGTACCTCGGAAAACTCATCTTCATGGACAACAACTTGTTTACAGAGATTATGAGGTGCAGAAGATGCTGTGGGCGAAAATGGGGAACATTGAAGGGGCGGCTCATCTCGTATCGGACAAGAAAATACGAACTGACCTCTCCGACCCTGCGGTATTGCCCGCACTCTGTTACGCATCCGAGACGTTGGCAGTGGGCAAGACGTCAACACCAACGTTGATTCGCGCACAAAGAGCGTTGGAGAGGACGTTGCCGAACACCAACCGCACATTGCAGAGAAGTCTCAACTGCCGCAGCGCAGATATGCTCTCAAGGTCTATCTTAGTGTATGCGTGGAACGCAAAGAAACGATGGTCAGGTTACGTGGTACGCACGGACGACAGGTGGACCACTCGCGTTACATTTTGGTACCCACGTGAGGTTAAACGCGCATTTGGCCGTCCTGCAACGAGATGGAGTGACTCACTAAAGAATTTTCAGCGAAGTGTTGGCCAACACTGGTCCCAAACTTAAAAATAGAGGGAAGTGTGTGCTCGCCGCCGAGGATTATCAGCCGACAACGAGCGTCCAATTGAGTAAGCCTCTTGGGAGAGGCTTTAGGGCAATTACATCTTCTAATAACAATGGAGCCTAGCCTTTTGCAAGTTGCAATGGAACAAGTACATCGCTACGACTTATTACGCGCTGCTCGACGGCTTCAGCAAGCTGTTAACAACATTTCACCATTTCTTTTCAAACCATTGCAGCATGCAGAAGGTGTGAACAACACATGCATTCAAATTTGAGAGCGTCATGAACATCTTCTCATTGTGTGTAGCCCATTTTTTAGGGGCTTGGAAGCAGCCCACCAAAGCTGGGCAGTTGCTATCCAGCACGCAGGATGCTGAAGAGGCTGGTCACACCTTCGTCAGCGAATATATCAACCACTGGTCCGTAAGTGAGGAAGAAGCTGCCGAGGATTGGGCAAGACATCCTTTGGGTCGGCTCGAGGTAGCCATGAACATGCTAATCCAGAACAATACACCAATTTCTTGAGTTTATACTGTAACAGCATCAGGACTCGGGCCCACTGACGGTACTCCAGTAAGGCGATTCCATCAGTCCGAGGAGGAGATCCTTGGGGGGGGGGGGGGGGGGGGGGTGGCAGGGTACAGCACGGTGGCTTCCCAAGTGTCAAGGAGATCAATACTTCCTAAAGACTCCGGTGGGGTTTCAGGGAAGTCCAACCAATCCGCTGTTTTGCCGTTCGTCGTCTTTTGCATGATCACGCTGCTCCTTTGCCTACGTTTGATCTCTCGGACGTTACCGGGATTATCGCCGAGTTTGCGGAGTCCTAGGACGTATTAGACACAGCGGTTTATTCGAACCACACTATTCCATCTACAGTTAACTTCCATTATTTCAGAATTCACTGAAATGAGAGCTACTATCCATGGAAGAAGGGCGCGAGATTCACTTGCTAATTATCAGTTGCCTTTTACAACCTGATACCTACTCTCGTCAAGAGTTCCTTCGTGTCTTACTGAGCAGTCGATAGCAGCAGTCAAAACCAGCAATGACTTCTGCACTCAGCTAGAGTATCACGCTAGTGCAGGTTGGAACCAATGGCTTGGAGATCATAACAATAATACCAAAGCGAATTCTCTTTTTGCCAAAGAGAAAATGTAGAAAAATTCCGCGAAGAAAAAAAAATCTGCAAAGTCCAGAGAGCGCGTAAAGAGACGATATATTCTTCCTTTTGAGGACTTCACCGTCTTCTCGAGACTTTCGATCATGTGACCCAAACATCAAGGTTTTCGAAGACTTCAGTCAGTGGAAGCATCGTCGTCACAAGCTCGTACGAAGGTCTGGAGGTGAAAACAGATCCTACTTCCGGAGATCTTCACCTTCTAGCCCTGTAAGGCGTTTTTGTACAAGTCGCTAGAGACTCTGGCTAAGATGCTCAAGAAGGGATGCAAATATCTTCGCGGCTTGCACATTTTGTTGGTCCAAGCACCTTCTTCACAATGTGAACGCGGAACATCAAGCATAGCACCCTGTAAGGTTGTTCGTGAGGATTGCCTGTGCTTCAGATGTTATGCACAAAACCGCACGGCGGCAGACTATGAACGAGCCCTTGTCTCTGGTGTCATGCGGTTATCATAGGATACTCTGCCGTGAAGACGCCAGATGGCCTTACCGCACGATCCACAACAGGTCATCAAACATATCATCGAGGTCACCTAGCAGAAGAAAAGGATCGTCCACCAGTTGAGCAAGCAATATTGCTCTGACGGGATCAATCTCCTTCATTCAGGGGTAGGCGCAATTCTTCATACCCTCGCCCACAAAGATGTCTTAACAGGTACTTTGCAGAGAACCGTGTTTCCTCCTTGTAGCGATGTGGAGGAGGCGTTTCATCGAACACGTCTCCAGAAAAATCATAGGGACGTTACTAGTTGGTGTGGCTTGAAAACCCTGTGAAACCACCCACCATCGTTGATCTACGAATTTTCCGGTTAGCGTACCTAGTGTTCAGCACCAATGTTTCGCTATTTCTGCTCAGTATCTCCATCAAATACGCTCTCGAATTTCTGTTCACTGAAGTTCTCGCGAAGGTTTTCTTTGCGATGGATAATTCCGTAGCTAATAATTCGCCACTTTTGCTGAAGTTCTCCAATTAAGTTGAAAGTAAGATCAGGAGAAAGCTCTGCTCGTGAAGAATACATATCTCTTGAATTTCCGATTTTCTTGAACTCCTTTGCCTTTCAAGTAAAAGTGGAAACGAGTCTCTAAGCTTTTAGGATGTCACTTGCTTATTACCAGCATCGTAAACCCTCCATTTTGAATAGAAACTTTGTTCTCAATTCTCAATAGGCATAGATTGCAGCACATTCAAGGAAAGCATGGAATCCTGACTATTTTGATACCTCAGCGAAATTTCAACATTTCGTCTCCGCCGACTCCCGGCACCACGGATTTATCAACTGTTGTACGAAAGATCAGGGATCTAAACTCACAAAATTATATCTTTTCTGAAAGGGTAAGCCCTCCTTTATATACCGCCTCGAGTTCTGTTAATATTCCTCGAAGTATGTCTGTATAGGACTCGTGTGGAATTTGAGGATTACCGCGTGCATTTGCGGCGCTTGATGCTTTTCTTCTACCGCAAAGGCAAGAATGCGGCTTAAGCCGCGAGTAAGATTCGGTACGTTTGCATATAAATGCGCCATGGGAACACACAGTAGGCGAGTGAATTGCGAAATTTGAACAGGGTGTACTCACCCTCAAAAGTTCCGCAGGTAGGCTATCACCGGTTGAAAATGGCCAAATCAGAATGTTAATCGGAATGAATTGTCAAATCACTACTCGTGGTACTGGACTGAACGTTTCGAAATCAACAATCCATGATCATTCGCTGGAACTTGGTTTTGTTGAGCGCCTCGATGTTTGAATACTTCTCTGAGCGGCCGCAACAGGATGGACCGCGCCTCCATGTGCGACTCGTTGCTAAAACGAAACAAAATGAGCTGATTCTGAAACGTACGACAACGGGTGACAAAAAAATGGGAAAACGATGAGCGGAAACGGTCGTGGAGCCTTCGAAACGAGCTTCACAAAATAGTCCATAAGTTAAGATCCAGAGAAGAAAGATTATGCTGCGTTGCTTGTGGGTGGGATTGGAGGGAGATCATTCATTTTGAGTTGTTGCCGCATAGTCAAGCAATAAGTTTGGAAGGATGCTGAACTCGGCCAAACAATCTATGGGCCGCGATAGACCAGAAGCGCCCAGAAGTGGCAAAGCGCAGGGCCGTCGTCATCCAGCAGGATACCTCTAAACCACACGTATTTTTGACTATTCGTCAAGAATTGCTGGAGCCTGGGCGAGATGTTTTACCACACCCACCATATAGTTCAGGCGTAGCACCATCAGACCACCACTTGTTTAGGTTTCTGCAGAATCTTTTGAATGGGAAATCGTTCGATTTACTAGAGAGCTGCAAAAAGCAATTGAGAAGGCTTTTCGATTCTAAGTCTAGAACCTTCCATGAGAGTGGGATTATGAGACTGATAGAAAAGTCGCGAACCATTACTGAACAGAATGGACGATGTGTTGTTTAATGGATTGACCTGATCTTCTAGAGATTTTTCTTTCAAAGATAACTCAAAAATCGCCTATATATTGCACCGTTCATGACAGATTTTCGACAATTTCAACGGAAAACGGTAAATCAAGTTGATGAATTCCTAAACTTTGAACATTTTACGTTCCAATTTTGACCCGTGATAGTCGTTGAAGTTGTCCATTCAATGAATGAATGAATCCATCAGTCGACCGAGATCGCAAGTAGAAAGAATCTTGTAGAATTGTAATTTGATAAAACATGTATAATACATAATACTTTGTAATGACTGTCGCGGTTCGGCATAAAACCATGTAAAACTATGATGATAAATGGTTGGATTGTCTCCTGAATATTGTTGAGCTTACCGATCCCTCACTATGGATCTATAGTGACTCATGGCCTCCGCTATTGCTTTCGCCACTCAAAAGCACGCCTTACACCAGATAGCATTCGACATGCAAGAATCCCTTTCCTAATACTAAGATGAATACTCATCACGACAGTTTTTCGTTCCAAAACACTTTTCACAATGACTTTAAACTTCAGCAGTGGTTTCAGTTTCTTCATGTGGAAAGCTTAAGTACCAGTATACCTGCAGATATCGGGAAGGACTGATCACTTGATATCCTACCAGGTGGTTTAGGCAAGTCCCAGCCAAATAATGAGATTTGTTTGCTTTCCCCTTCGAATATTTCTGCCTTCTGAAGAAACATAGTCACCAGTAGAGAACACGAAACGCCATAGAACTTCTGTTGGGGATCATATCAGACACGACCTCCACAGGTGAACAGGTCGTATTCATAATGGCCTAGCATTTGAATATAATATATGTATATATATATATATATATATATATATATTATATATATATATATATATATATATATATATATATATATATATATATATATATATATATATGTTTACCCGTTAGTTAATAGTGGAGCTAACAACTTCATTCTTTGTATCGATCTTCCTTGAACTCACTCAATCTGCAAGGACATGCTACGCTATAAATAACCTGAAACTCAATGTGAAGAAAGGTGAGTAAGTACTCTGATGGGATTATCTTTTCGGAGTCAACACTAAAAATTGCAAGCTCGTTGATAAAATTAAAAAGTAATTAATCCATCTAGTAATAGAATATGTGCATTTCTGTTTTGAATACAGTGCGAGCTGGTAAGAGGCAGGTGAGTATATTATCTAAGTTCGGATCTGCCTTCATGCAAAACACTTGCAAATGCTTAAACTACATCACTGACTAGCGCTGCACGCTTCCCTCAGCTGATTGAGCCGGTTCTTGGTGTCACTGTTGTCAATCCTCCTAAAATGGGGAGCTGGCGTGCAAGTCAAAATACGGTCTTAAACAAGCGAAAAAAGAGGTCACAAGCAATTCAAAGTAAGAGCAGGTTCGATACTCGGAGCGAAACTGCATTTTTCACAGCATCGTCGTTTCTGTATCACTTTCATACTATTATGTATAAGCAGGCGTGCTCTTGATTGAAAATGCCAATAGCAAAGATGGGCCAACAGTGATCGATAGCGAGGAGATAAGAAGCTCAATGTTCGCTCAGGACACGATTCATTTGAGTTGATTTTGCACGATAGCGAAGAACGGTTGGTTCTTCAACCGTGACCGCTATCAGGCCATAACATAGCTGAGCAACATTGGAAGCAACCGCGAAACGCACAACAACTGAAAAATAATTTAAACTTTTAAGTGAAAACCTGTGTTGAACGTCTAGTCTACAATAGCATGTACTCCTCGTATCACATTATCAAAAGTTCTGAATGAGTGGAGAACTATGTTGTGTCCCATGATATGCACCTTCAAAAAGAAGCAAAATCTAAAAAAATGGTAAATTGAACCACTGCGTTTAGCCGGAATTATTGGAACTATGTCATGAAGAATGCTCAAGTTTCTTCTCG